TTCTTGGGAGTTATTCTACGAGCAGGAGGGTGTCTGGCACTAAGCTATGGGAGGCAACAGGGCACGGGCCACCTGGCACCATGTGAATGCCACTGACCAGGTGAGTTCCATCAACATTTACAGTATCGGGTTCCAATGATCGAATGGAGCTTGAATCGCAACACTGTAAGAGCATGCATTGGACCGCGCGCATGAGATAAATCCTTCAAAGTGGTCGTGGTACAATCTTTTCCCGATGACAATAATCACATCCCATCAGTTTACGGATGTCGACGCAGGGAGCAACAGCTAGGACGTATCGAGCCAGGAGTCCGCCTCGGTGGGTGGACAGGGGTGGGCCACAAGCCCGTTGTTCGCCCAGGCCACGGAAGAATGCACGGTTTCAGACTTTCAGGGGACAAGCGATGAAGATCTGCGCCGAGGTATTGTCCCGCTTCTGGAACACACAAGAAGAGTCAAATTCCGCTGGTGAATCAATTGTCCTGATGAAGAAGGGTCTCGCCCCGGAGAAGCCGAGCCTACATGCGATAATTCATCAAGTGCAGCCACTATTTTGCCTAGTGCAGTATCTTGCCTGGATGAAAGATATGCTATGTACGCCAAGGCCTGACTATGACTCGACAGGGGAGAATCTTTGTAGGGCTGCGATCTTCCCGAGAACCGGGTGCTCGTTCGCTGTATGTCTCAAGGTACCACAGCCCATGAGACATGAAGTGATCGAAGATCGACCTTTGGCGCCAGTTCGGCTCGAGATGTGACCCTTATTGCGAAGGGATATACCTTACCTATTCTCCCAAGTCAAAAAATGAAGCACACATTAAGCTGCACGAGGGGAAGAAGTCAACAAGCTCGTGATAAGGACCACAGGCATTGTCTATCAACTGCTTCCATAACATGCTTCGTATCATTGGCATTATTTGGTAGACTGGCCGCAATGGGGCATGTACCTGCCGTTTTCTGCGGCAGCATTCCCTGGATTAGAGTTTCCCTTCACCTGCCTCGGCCCTACCGGCCCTTTTGCGCGCGGCTGCTCGGGTAATGATCGACTTGACGCGTGAAGAAGCTGACTTCACGCATGAGAGCACAAACACTAGTGCTGCACCGCGTCAGGCAGAAAAGCAGTTGTTGACGGCTTCTTCGCGAATTTCAGGTGCTTGACCCCACTGACCTCACTGTTCCTCTAGTCTTCCGGCTACTGACTCATCGCGGATTATGCTGGAGGGAAGACGCATTCGTTATGTTCAACCACGACGGCCATGCGGTCTAGAACTTCTTCCTCCGCCTGGTTGCTACCAGTCCAAAGCTGCAATTGTGACCGCTGGAATCTTGCATCATGCCATTTGGTCACGCACTGGACTGTGTATTAGAAATAAACAACCTTGATCAAGGGAAATTCGTCAGGAGACCCTGAATAGGTGATTACGATAGGAATGGCATTGTTACCTGTCTTCCCCAGGAAATACATGAAAGGCAAAGGAATGCGGAAGACAGCACCACTCGATTCATTAGCGGCCCCGGATTCATAGATCCTTTGTCTTTCCTCTTCCATCTCTATTGGTCGGATCTCGGCTCATCTAACGAAGGCGGCAACTTGATCTGAGCAAGAGGTGGAAGTCCGCAAGGGCTGCCGTCTGGACGGGTCTGAAACCTTGCATGTCCTTCATGCGCAGCAAACTCATTCATATCAGTATGCCCCATGGCGTGGTGATACGGAGTCGACATACGGTGGAACAGATGCCCAGGTGAGAGCCAGCGAGTTTGAAACTATTATAAGAGTCTGGAAACAGCCTGCAGATTTCCGCGTCAGGCAGTGTCATCGTTGGGCATTCTCACGTCTGATCTCCGCCATGAAGCTTTTCTCTCCAGCTGTGGTAGGCTCACTCGCGGCCTGGCCAGTACTGGTAGCCTCATTTGAGGAAGGGTGTGGCCTTGAAACTCAATTGACGGTTACGGAGACGCAGAACGTCGAAATTATCTCCTGTACTGATGATGCGACATTCACGCACACCACATCTGTCGTCCGGTAAGCCAGGTCTAGAAACTGCTTGAGCTGCCTTGTAAAAGTACTCATACATGACTTTCAGCACCTTGGTTTTCCATGCTCGGCCACCATACGTTCTGGTCCACGAAGGGTACGAAGGACCAGTTCCGACGACAGTCACCTTTGCCCCAACAGGGACAGATCCTGGCACAATAGTCGTCTACACACCGACCGACGCCCCTGAAGATGAACAAAACAAGAAGGATGGCTCACAGTCTGTACGAACGACATCGCGGCACCCTGAGGGAGGCTGGCCTACAAATTGGCCTTACCCACCACCATGGGTGCCAGGGCATTCTGATTCTCACGACAAGTTCGTGCCCTACCCAACCAATACGGGCCAGTTTACAACATTGAAAAGTGAGGCCAGTCCAGGAACCTCGACAAGAGCTGCCTTCGATTCACCTGCCTCCGGATCCGAGGCTCCTTCTGACTCTTGGCTACCAATCGAATCAATCATCAGTAACTCGCAGAATGCCATGGAAAGCAAGAGTGCGGGTATGTCCGCGTCGCAAACAAATTGGATACCTTCGTCATCCATCACTGGCTCCTTCTTCACATCGATCACAGGATCCTCTTCTGAGCCACTCTCTAGCTCTGGTTTCCCCTTTCCCAGTTCACTGCTGCCTCAATCCAATTTCATTCTGCCAAATAGCAACTCCGCCGAGCCCAGTTCAGCTACCCCGTCTGGGAATTCCTTTCCGCCTTTCTTTAGCTTTGATGCCCCGGTCCCCAGTTCATTATCACCCCAGCCTAGTTCTCTTCTCCCCAACAGTGCTTCGGCTGGACCCAGTTCATTAATTCCCCTACCTAGTTCATTCGCGTCGCTCCCGAGCTCGATTATTCCCAGCTCGATTATTCCCAGCTCGGTCATTCCCAGCTCGATAGAGCCCAGCTCGCTCGAGCCTGTTCCTGGCTCTATCGGCCCCAGCTCTATTTCACCCCCACCCATTTCACTCGAGCCTATTCCTAGCTCTGTCGGGCCCAGCTCTATTTCACCCCTACCCAGTTCACTCGAGCCTATTCCTAGCTCTGTCGGGCCCAGCTCTAGCCAACCGAGTTCTTTGGAGCCAAGCTCTATCCTGCAGAGCTCGGCACAGCCTAGTTCATTCGAGCCTCAACCAAGCTCACTGGGTCCCAGCTCAATAGAGCCCAGCTCCATCATACCCTCGCCTAGCTCTTTCGAGCCTATCCCCAGCTCTCTCAGACCCAGCTCGATAGAGCCTGTTTCAAGCATACCATCGGCAAGTTCGTTCGAGCCTCTTCCTAGCTCGGCTTTGCCCAGTTCTGCCCAGCCCAGCTCTGCTCAACCGAGCTCGGTCCAGCCCAGCTCTGCCCAACCCAGCTCGGCAGCACCCAGCTCAGTGGCACCCAGCTCTGCGCAACCGAGCTCGGCAGCACCCAGCTCAGTCCAGCCAAGTTCCGCAGCGCCCAGCTCAGCAGTGCCAAGCTCCATGCACCCAAGCTCAGTCCAGTCTAGCGCATCGCCCTCCTCCTCCGCCCCGGCGCCGACCCCCGACGTGAGCTGCAACAACCGCGGTCTCGAGTACGCAATCTACGACCACAGCTTCTTCAACTCAGACTTCCCCGCCTTCTCGTCCCTCGACGTCAACTACTTCCACGTAACGCAGCCCGCCTTCACCGGCACGACGGAGCGCATCGGCATCCCGCCGGGCACGAACCCGTATTTCCCACCCTTTAGCATCTACGACGACACACCGGCCCGGCTCTACATGTTCACGGCCGTCAACCACCGTGCCTTCCTCTATGCGCCCGTCACGGGCACCTACACGATTACGGTGCCCGACTCGGACGAGATCACGCTCGTCTGGCTCGGCGACAAGGCTATTTCGACCTGGACCCGCGCTAACGCCGACCTGGAGCAGGACTATAATACCGTGGACGGGCCTGAGGAGACGACCGTATTTAGGATTCAGCTGCAGGCCGGGACGTATACGCCGTTCCGTCTTTTGTGGGCGAATGCACAAGGCGAGCTTTCATTTATTGCGAGGGTTCAGGCGCCGGATGGACGAATTATTGAGGACGGAGACGGGTCGGACAGCGACTATTTCGTACGGTTCGCTTGCGACATGTCGACGCCTGAGTACCCGCCTTTCGGACAGAATGGTTGAGGCTCGAGTGTTGGGCTTTCACCATCGGGGCAGTTAAGGACCGTGCAGACTGCCCATCCAACAATAATCTCGATGCGTTGCGGCTTACACTTACGTAGCGCTCACAATAATTCCACATGTACCAACCAACATTGATCATCTTCATCACGATATGCAATTACGTCAAAAGAAAAGTAGGAAGGTGATAAAAGATAGGATTTAATCAATATCTATCACTTTCAATTGGTGGTATCAATGTAAAAATTCGGCAGGGACAAGTCGAACAGTTTAGTTCTTGAGTTCAGGATTAACCCGAGTGGTCTCGTTGACACCCGTGTCGGCTTGCGTAGGGTACTCAGACGTGGTCGTCTCCGGGCCCTTGGAGTTTTGCTGCTGAAGGCTGTGGTAGAATTCATCGCCCTCGTCAATGACGTACTTGGACGACTTGCGGGCAGGGACACCCTTCTGGAACTGTTGCACGAGACGAATTAGCTTCATGTGAAATCATAGAAAAGGAAACGGCGGCGTAGCTTACCATGTAATCCATCTCTCCAAAGGTGCGGTCCTTAGTCTCGAAGAGACGGAAGTAGCCCCAGGCCAGCGTGAGAGTGGCGAGAATGGCCCAGAAGTAGGCAGTCTTGCCCTTCCAGTTCCAAGCACCGGGGGCCATCATGCGGGGTTGCAGGATACCACCGCAAATGATGTTACCGACGTAGTAGAAACTACGGCCCAAGACGACGGTGTGCGTACGCAGGCGAGTCGAGCCAATCTCAGCCACAATGGTGTAGACGATGGGACCAACACTCATGGAGTAGGCGCCGAGCCAGACAACGCAGAGCAGAGACTGTGTCCATCCAAGAGCGACGGTCTGGTTGGGGATACTAGCCAGGATGCCAATGAGCCAGAGGATGACGACCAAGCTGGAGAAACCGACGAGCCAAATGCGACGGCGACCGAACTTGTGAATGTACAGCCAGGAGATGCAAGTACCAACCCACGCAACACCAGTGCCGCCGAGACCAATGTAGTAGGCGACGCTGTCGGGGGTTCCGGTCTTCTGGAAGACTTGCTGGAAGAAGAAAGTACCGGAGTAGCAGAGAGCGCCACCGTTGGTGATCTGGGACATGAACGACATCATGGCAATCTCCGTGCGACGACGGTTGGTGCCACGGAAACAATCATAGTAAGAAACGCCGGCACGCTCCTCCTTCTCGGTCTTGTCCGTGTGGATCATCATGGCAACGGCCGCATCGTGGTTGACTTCATGTTGGGCGGAAGCAAGACGCTGGAGAGAGTGCTTAGCCTTTTCGAACTGGCCCTGTCGGACGAGGTACCAGGGTGACTCGGGTGCGAAGAAGGCCACCAGGCCGAGAGGAATAGGCCAGATCCATTGCAGGGCAAAGGGGATCTTGAAGCTCATCTCGCCTGGCTTGTCGACGAGGCCAGCAAGGATACCCGCGGAAATAAATTGACCGGTTGCCCAGCACCTAGATTCTTGTCAACACACGCTGATGTCACGAGGCGTCATTTGAGCAACACTCACAAGTTGACATAGGCGGTGAGATAACCGCGAATGGCCAGAGGTGTGACTTCGGCGGCGTAGGCGGGGCCGGACGTAGCGAAAACACCCCAGGGGATACCACAAAGGACCTGGCCAGCAAGCTGGGTCTCGATGTTTTCGGCAAAGAAGACGACAAAGATGAAAGCCGTGAGCCAGGCCAGAGAGCCCATGATGGTCCAGCGGTGTCCCCAGCGAGCAGTAGCCCAACCGTTGAGGAGGGCACCAACAATGTTGGCAACAGCACCAATGGTGTTGAAGCGAGTTTGCCAGTCGGCGCTGACCTGATAGCCAGACTCCTCATCGAGGTACTCGCCGTACTTGCGACGGAACTCGGGATATCCGAAGAAGCTGCCAATGAGGGTGACGTCGTAACCCTCCATGATGATGGTGGCAGAAATGGCTGATCACAGATACCAATCAGCAAAAGTCACAGAGCTTGCTCGCGAGGTGCCTCTGCACTTACCCATGGACCAGAATGCGGCACTCTTGTATGTTTTCATACCCTGAACGAAGCCATAGCTGTGCTCAGCATCGGTACCTTCCTGAGCTGCAGAGCTCAGGACCTTGCTGTCGAGGCCGGCGTCTGCAAAGGCGGCAGTGTTGTCAGGACCGCGCTCAATCTCGATATCGGTTGGGTTCTTCTCATTGTTGGGGGAAGCCATGATGGCGGCAGGCTGGGCTGACAGAGCAGCTCTCTTTCAGAAGGAGTCGGTGCTTTGGGTCCCAGGCTGGGGTCGACGACGAGGCAAAAGGGTCGAGACAGGCGGCCATTGGGGATGGGGGTTTGCCATTTATCAACATGTTTGTCGGGTAAGCCTCGCCTCTGCATGGCGAGGGGCCCCAGGATGGCATCCTGGACCGCATCGCAGCACTACCCCAAAGGAGAGGAGCGCGGCGCGGGCGATTGTGTCGCGGTGCTCGCGCCATGCTGAATGGGGTGTAGCGCAATGGCATTCAGAGGAGGACGCTCAGGGCGAGGTTCTCCGCAAAGACGGGTGTGGAAGAGATGGGCTCGCTCTGCATGAGCATCGGGTTGTCCAGTCGAAAGCCGATCGACACTGTAGCTAGCGGCGGGTTTGGCAGGTTCCAACGGGGATGCAACATGGTGAGTGGTCGTAGGCGTCCGGGGGAGGGGTCGTTGATGGGATTGCGAGAGGGTATGTGGCGGCCTCCCGTGTAGCCACCGCGTGCATCGAGCACCGTGATCCGACCATGAACCAGCTTAGGGACGACGGACCGTCAAGATGCGTTCTCGACATGATCATGACCCTGACTTTGGCACCCGCGATTGGTGGAAGACGGGTCTGGGGCTTGCCTTGGCACGAGGGGGCTTTGGAGAGACCGGGGTTCTGAACCTAGCGGTTATTGGGGGTGGAGCATGGAGTCTTGTCTGGGGCACGGTCGCTTCTGCTAGTGGCGTGACATGTGGAGGAGCAAAGGAGGAAGTGCATCGCATCCTGTGCTTGTTGGTTGCTGTGGTCAAAGAAAAGGGTACCGAAATTGGGGTAACGCCTTTCCATTCGGTCGACTGTCTTGATGTCTTGATGCTTTTCGGTCAACCTGTCGGATGAGATGTTTCGAAGCTGGCTCTGATCGAGGACGACTGAAATTGGGTCCTAGGCGAGGCACTTGTCATACCTCGCTTTGTAGCGATGGGACAGACATGGCCGGATAAAGGGAGCGCTACAGCTAGCGGCATGGGTAAGCGGCTGTTGATTTGTGTGTATAGGTAGTCGAGAGTTCGGGTATTTTGATGATACTTTGGTTGCTCTGAATCTGTGGTTGAACTTGGGATGAGGTGAGTAGGTAGCCTGGGAGAGGCATGTTCCGGGCCCTAGGCAGGAAGGCTTCGAAATGAAAGGAAATCTCGGCCAATGTTGCACCTGCAAGGTGGTACTTGCAGGATATGGACCAGAGGAGTGGAGGCAAAATCTGTGCTGCAGGTGCAGGTGCAGGTGGGCAGCAAGAGCAAGAGGTACCTGCCTGCCCAAGATACCAACTAATTGGTTGTCAGGCACAACTTCCTCGCTTCCCAGAATCCCGACTATTTACTCGAGGTAAGGACCCGAAGGGTAGCTACGATGTCTACTTACCTACCTAAATGCCTACCTAGGTACCTGACGTGCCTGACGAATGGGGAAATCGATGCCCCAATTGACGTAAGATACTCTCACCCGCACCTCAAGACTACCCTGCCTTAGGTACCTTAGGTAAGGTAAGGAACTGTAGGTACCTACCTGGGTACTAATTTCCCTTGCTGACTGCCAGGACAGGCTCATGTACCGTGCCGCACGCCACGGTCAGGCGTCCCCTGTACTCCTTCTGTATTGCCAAAAAAGCATTCCTGGGTACCTAGGTGCGTACATAGTACGCTCAAAAGCCACCTCCGCGACGCCAAACACCGCGTGAAGCAATCACTGTCGCCCAAAGCCGTCCACCCCCATCCACCATCGCCGGCTGTTCAGAAGAGGGCGCTCGCTTGTTTGCTCGCCCGCCATGACATCTCCACCCACACACTCTTGTGAAGCTCTGCCTTTACCCCAGTTCTACAGATCGCCAGCACCACAGTACCCTATGGTGGGTGGGCAGGCCATGGCAGCCCCTCATCATCGTGTCTCCCCATACGCGCCATACTTGATACGCCCATGCGGGGTCGAGCGCTTGTGTCCTCGGAAACACGAAGCGTTCGCCCGCACCCGCAAGCCGCTGGGCGGAGCTCCCTCGTGGAGCGCAAAAGATCTCTTTTTGGTTCGGGGCCCTGCAAGTCACCCGGCCCACCAGAATCACTCTCCACTTTCGTGCAAGTCAAGCTTGCGCTACGGACGTCCTTCGAGCCTGGTCGTCCTCGGCGGTTCGGCACCCTGCTTTCGGTTGTCTTCGGCCGACTGTCGGACAGCCGTCGATCAGGCACACGTCTCCATCTGCTACAGCCGACTTACCACGACAGCCTGGCGTCTTTTTCTGTCGCGCCTCTCGACCGTGCCGTGGCCGGATCGCTGATGAACGGTGAGACCTAGTGCCTTAGACTCGCGGCCCTGGCTGCTGGCGTCACATTTGCCCGCAGGCTCGGCTATGCCATGCGGCACAGGTCACAAGTTTTCTGGTCGGTCATCCGTCGCTTCTGCATGTTGAACCGCACTACTGGGTCGAGTCATCTATCGTCTGTACTCCCGCCAGGATCGCTTGCATCGCTTGATCGATGCGACATTGCGGGGAGAGAGGAGTCAGCCCTCTTTCCTTTGACTTGCGAATCACCAACAGATTCCTGGACCACGGGCGTCTTGTCACCAGATTGGGACCAATTTCTTCAAACTTGGTAAATACGGGGTCGCTTCGGCTTCGAACCACTGAGAGGTCTGCGGTAGTAGAGCCTTGACCCTAGGGAAGCTGGCGCTTGACCAGGCTGGCAATGACGGGAGCTTCCATGCGTTCTGCGCAAGTTTTAAATTCGATCGGACGACAACTTCTTCAAGCCTTCGAAAGGGACGTGCTTTAGCTGAACATCTTGGTGCTGGTGCTGCCAGAATGGGCTAGAATCTGTTGGAGGTCTAAGGAGGAAAGGTGTTGTATTGGGAAGCTATTCTCTAGGGCAGGAGGGTGCCTGGAACTAAGCTATGGGAGGTGCCAGGGCACAGGCCACCTGGCATCAGGTGACTGCTGGAAGCCCCAGGCGAATACCACCAACAGAATCTAGTCCTAGGATTATGGTGGGGTCGCGCCGACCACGAGGAGGTTGGATTTAAACCGACGGTTCAAGCACCAACACGGCACCATCCTTGCGAACCTCTCAGCCTCTCCCACCCTCTTAGCCGCGAATGCAGGTGTGTACAGGATGCCTGCAGAGTGAAACTATCACTACTATCTCCGGCCATGCCCAGACCCTGAACTGCGTGGCCATTCATGTCCCAGCATGAGGCCGCAAGGAGGGTGTCCCGAGACAGAGATGAGTGGAGGCGGTGTCGCGACCCGGTCTCCACGTGAGCTAGATCATCTGATGAGTAGGTTTGACTGGATTTGCGGGTTGGTAGGTTGCCGAGAGCTGCGCATGCAAGCTGGAGCTCATGCAGAAGAATATCGAAAAGGCCCTTTCCCCTCTCACCATTGCTGTCGTGCCCCGACCTGCTCCAAGCTGTTTCCACATCTTTTTTGTTGCAAGGAACGTCCAAAGGGCTTCATCTCGACCGCCGCATGACGCTGAGGCATGCAAGCTCGCATGTCCTCAACAAGGGAGGTTATCTCGTCTAAATTTGAACAAGTGCTATTTAGCATTGATGTTCCATTCGAAAAGTCTAGAAGGCTGAGGTGACAACCACACAGATCAACTCGCTGCCTGTGTCGACCTCAATGCTCTGCCCGACCTCTATGGCAACGCTTTTGAGACTTAGGTCTTTTGAAATCTGGATAACGAGGGCGGATACGTCAGTATCGTCGAGAGATTTTTGCTTATTCTGACTGATTGAATCAGTGAAATCGACTACAGCTAAATTTTTGGATCGGAAAGGGTCATCGGCTGATGGAGTGTACATGTTTGCTTCCAGTACTTACATGACCGTGATAGATGATCAAAAAAATAAGATCAACATTCCGGTGTGTAGATTGGTTCTCCACAAGGTGTTTCACACCCATCACAGAGGGTGTTCAAACCGCTGGCCTTGAACTTCTGGGGCTATGCGAGGATTATGTATGCTTGAGGATACTACCTTATATGAATGCGGCCCAAGCAAGGCGAGAAGCAGTGTCCGAGCCAAGATTCTGGAATTGGTCGACTAAGTAGGGCAAACATTCAGCAAAGGTCCAGCAAACTTGTTTTTCTCAGAATACCTTAGGCCACTTCTCTCAGATGATATGCTTATACCATGGAATGTCCATATGGCTCACAGTCATTCGGAGAACAGTGCAGACGCATAGGATTTGAAAGTCCAGTGCCAGACAAAAGGTACGCGAGCGGGTGGGCGACAAAGGGAAGGTCCACCAAATGAGGGAGCACCCCATTTTACTAGTAGATCAGTGCCATACCATGCCTCGCTATTACATAGTATGCCTTTTGTAGAGCATTTTAGCGGGCCATTGATTCTGTCGAGTGCTTGCCAAAATCAAGAGCACGAGTTGCTTTTTGGCTTCGGTGTGGGCCGCGGTGAGGAGACTCGGTGTAAAGGTGTAGGGCTCGGTCTGCGCCACAACCAATCCAGACCTGTGGCGGGTGATGTTGCATGGGGAAGGTGTCGGGAAATTAACAAGCTCTCGCATCTGCATTCACTCTCGGTACTCGAATTCAGGACTCCTCTTCTTTCTTCCCCTCCGCTCATTGCTTTTTGCGACCATCATAGAAAGTCTTTCGCCGTCGTCTCGAAGCTGCAAGACGACAGAATCTCTGTCCAGCCTTTTGTTGCCGCATGACAACCTTTGTTTACATAGGTACCTGTCTTGTTGATGACCCCGCCATCTGGACGCTAGGCAATCAACAAAGCAACGGGCCCCCCCCTCTCCTTAGCTCCCGTCGCGGGCGAGCTCCGATATCATCGACTATCGTGCGCTAAGACCCTCTCCCAAATCGGTGCATATATGCTCCCGGAGTCATTTGTAGCAGCCCTATATCGGTTCCTCTATTGCTGCAAGCCGTTACGCATAGTGACAGGGCGGTGGCTAACATCATATCCAACATGGAGGAGAAGCCAGCGGCGGTCAATCGCCAGAGTGCGATCCCCCGCATGTCACGACTTCCAACGCCAAGGTCGACATCATCTTCCAACCTCCGACCAGCTCCTTCGAAAGAGAACTTGAACCCTGTCCCGAAGCAGCGCCTTCGCCCAGCAGCTTCTCGAGATCAATTGCCCCGAGCCTCATCGATTCCTTCCAATAGACTTGAACCCCGCGAAGCCTTGGCCACGACGCCTCGCCCGAGACGAGACATGTCTGCCGCCAGACCACGAGCCACGGATTCAAGACCGAGCTTAGCTGCCTCGACTACACCGACTCACTCTCCCTCGCAGCCGCCTTTGAGCCATACCCCAACAGGCGATCCCCCCTCGGACCCAGACCACTTCCTCTTCAAGAAACCGACAGCCCTCTCACGACGCCCCTCCGAAGCTCAATTGTCCACGCCGAGCGGTGCTATGAACCAGTCACCTGTCGATAGTGAACCGCCCATCAATGACAGCACTGACAGCATGTCGTTCGGGACCATCCGACCTAGGTCTTCGAAGCCAAGGCCGTCTTTGTCCGAACGAACCATGGAGACACTAGCGCAGCTCCCCTCTTCCCCGGCAATGAGCAAGAAATCGACCTCCTTCTTTGACCCGGACGGTACAAGAAGGTCTCGGTCGCGGGCAGGAAGCAATGGATCGAGGCCAGGCTTGAGCTATACATCCGATGGATCGATGCGTCCGCCCTCGCAGGCAAGAAGCCGCCCAGGGTCAAGCTCTGGCCCTGACGATGGCAGTGTCTCGAGCTTCAGGGCCTCTACGAATACTTTTCGACAGCCTCTGAGCACAATTGAGGGTACGCCATCACGGCGTACCTCGGGCATTGCTTCGCTGAGGACGCCCTCTGTCCGAGGCGTCGCTCGCGCCACCCCAGCCCGCTCGACGAACTTCTCGGCCTCCACGATCGGACATTCCTTCGATAGAGGTTCGAGTCCAACCAAGTCAACCGGTATTGCAGCACCGCCAAAGACTGGGGCCAAGACAATAGCGGCTCGGCCGCTGAAGCAGAGACAGTCGATCAACGGTCTCTTCAAGAAGCCTTCGCTGCCTGCGATGGACCGCACTGCCGCTGCACAGCCAGCTCCTCCCAAGTTTACACCGAAGCCGGCACCCAAGACGACACCGACACCATCAAGGCTCACAAAGCCAACTCGAACGATACCAAAGCCAGGAGCAACTGGTGCTCCATCGGAAGCCATTGGGAAGCCGGATATGGAGGCCAGTCGAAAATCGTCCACCGCGCTTCGCGAGCAGATTGCACAGGCTAAAGCTGCAAAGCGCGCTGCGGTGAAGAAGGCTCCCGATCTGGACCTGGTCCCAGACTCGTTGGCCGTGACAGATGATCCAAAGTCCTTCCCGCTCAAATCCCCGATTGTGCCAGCCGACAACAGCTTCGATTTCGGGATCGCCGTAACGCATGACCCATTCAATACACAGAGAACACAGAGCGCAAAGAACAAGATTGTGCAACAGCGTCTCGGTGATGCGCGCAGCTCTGGCAGGCTCAATATCGCGGCCATGGGACTGAGTGTCATGCCTGTCGAAGTACTGAAAATGTATGATGCTGAGATGATGGGGACTAATGACGGAAGCTGGGCTGAGAGCGTCGATCTGACGAGGCTGATTGCCGCCGACAACGAGATGGAGCTCATCGACGACAGCATCTTCCCAGACGTGACTGCCGACGACCTAGCAGCTGAGGAGGACGGGAATGGGAACATTTTTGGCGGACTGGACACAATCGACCTGCACGGGAATCTATTGATCTCTCTTCCTGTCGGACTGAGGCAGCTTCGCCTCCTGACGTCTCTGAACCTGGTATGCCGAGTCTGAAATTTTAATAGGCATGAAGACTGACGAGTGCAGACCAACAATCGATTGGCAAACAACTGTTTCGAGGTCATTTCTCAGCTCACCTCACTGCGCGACCTCAAGCTCGCAAATAACCTTCTATACGGGCCACTGGACCCCTCGGTCTCCAACCTACACAATTTGGAAATCTTTGATATTCACGGCAACAACGTTTCGACTCTTCCTACTAATTTCGGGAATCTTGAACGGCTACGTATTCTTAACCTTGCCGAAAACAGCTTTGAATTGCTGCCATTTGGCATTCTGTCCCAGATGCCCTTGACAGAACTCAACCTGAAGAAGAACAAGCTTGCAAAGACGCTCATTGAAGACGACGTGGAGGCTCTCCCGAAGCTGCAATCAATCGACATCTCCTGCAACCAGATTACGCATATCGTTGCCCCTGGCACAACGGTCAGCCTGCCGGTGCTGTATCAGCTCAGCGCGTCTATGAACCGCCTGAAAGCTCTGCCTGACGTCAGCTCTTGGAGTAGTCTTCTGACGCTGACCGCGGACGAGAACAGTATCTCGGAGTTTCCGGAAGGCTTCTTTAGTCTGGAGAAGTTGCGACATGTTGATTTCTCTGCTAATGATATTCGCATCATCCCGCCGGAGATTGCCAGGATGGACAATCTCGCAATGATTCGCCTGAGTGGCAACCCGTTGCGTGACAAAAAGTTCATCTCGGCCACGACAGAGGAGCTGAAAGATGCCCTGGCAGCGAGGCTGGAACCGCCGCCTCCTTACGACGATGTCACAAGCACCGCGCACACAATCGCGGCTGCCATCGCTGACGATGCCAAAGCATCCGAATCACCAACGAAAGAAGTCGCACCTGAAGAGGGTGAGCATGACAGTCGATCCGACATGGATGACTTCGCAACTCCCCCGACATCGGCGCCGCACTCGCCTGCTCGATCGAGGTCGCACACCCTTTCGAGCCAAACTTGGCCCGTTAAGAATGGCGGACTGCTGGACCGCTCTGGAACACAGTCCTCGTCGCTTCACCCTGTCGTTTGTTCCAAAATTGCCGCCGCTACCCGGGTCACGGAAATCCAGCTCCATCACAACCTTTTCGCAACGTTTCCTGAATCTCTTACGTTCTTCGCCAACACCTTGACGGCGCTGTCTTTGGCTCACAACAAGCTTGTCGGCGAGACGTACTTGCCAGAGGAGCTGGAGCTACCTGCTCTCCGGGAGCTCAATCTGATGAACAACCACATCACGAGCCTGGCCCCGCTGACGGCCAATCTCCGATCGCCGCAGCTCGAGAAAGTTGATGTCTCGCTCAACCGTATCACAGCGCTGCCGACTGATCTACGTGTCGTGTTCCCGCAGCTGTCGGTCATGCTTATTGCCAACAATCACCTTATCGAGCTGGACCCTGAGAGCATACGGGGTCTGCAGGTCGTGGACGCCAACAATAACGATATCGCACACTTGAACCCCAAGATCGGCTTGCTTGGCGGAAACGGCGGCCTGCGTCAGCTTGACGTATCAGGGAACCGCTTCCGTGTTCCGAGGTTCAGCGTGCTCGAACGTGGAACAGATGCAACACTGAGGTGGTTGCGGGGTCGTGTGCCTGTTGCCGAGATGGCCAGCTGGAAAGAAGGACAAGGAGAGGGTGGGCAGGGCGATTCTGACGACGACGTCGACTGAGTTTGAGGCACTAACTTTGCGGGGACGTCAGGCGTTACCTTTGAGATTGGGGATATAGGGCGAGACTGCTTATTGGCATGTTGCTTGGCTTTGGCGAAGATACCACATTTGTTATTGTATACTGCGCCCGGGCGAACAGGGAAAATAGTAATTCCAGGCGTCGTGGCGCCGCCACAAGACCTTTGTCATATTTCGATGCGAACTTTCTGGTGCGTTCAGGCTTCAGATGCCAGGCTCGCAGCATCGAGTATGATACTGTGTGGGACGAGACTAAAGCTCTTGTCGGGCCTTGGGATTGGCGACCTTTTGAGGCCTGTTGAAGGCGCACCTTGGTGGCACCCAGCCCGATCCCTGGACCTCAGGATCAGGCTCTATCGATCATGGCAAGATCAAGACTTAAGCTTTACGGCCGAAATGGAAAGAATGGGCACATCGGATAGAACCATGCGACCAAAGGGTTCCCAACTATTTAAGAGTCAAATCCTGTCACTCTTCCTGCAAGCCTTTGTTTTTCTGGTCATCGAGCCTACAAAAGACTACAACTCAGTACCCCATCTGCATCACCTGAGGAGGCACCCACCTGGCCCGTCCCAGCTATCACGGCCCACGACACGCATACACTTGAGAAATGGCCATGGTGCCTATCAGTATAACCTACATCCCACCCCCGCCTAAAGGCGGGTCCACGGACAGCCACACCAGCAAGCCTGAGATCATCTTCCAGGCGGTATATTCAGGCCTCATCGTTTACTTCGCTATCGGCTTTGTGTTAGGGGCGTGTTGTCGGCCACTTAGACAACCTCAATGGTTTACACGAGATCGCCAGAAAAGCAGAGGTCCCGTTCGGGATGTGCTCTGGGCGTGCGCGCTCACCACCACGTGGCCGGTCCTTCTTCCCGTGCTCGCCATCATCAGGAGCATCAACAAAAGGCAGACGGGGTTGAAGAAGGCGGCAAGATGGAAGAGGCACGAGGCGATGTCGGAGGGGGGTGCAACAGGCGTGACGGAATTGGTTGTTGCAGTACCTGTTTTGCCTACTGCCGGGAAGAGCGAGCGCGCAAAGACGCGGTTCGAGCAGGATCTCGAGCTTGAGGCTTTGCCTCTGGACTCCGACGAGACGGACGAGGACGGGAGGACGAGAGGTCGCGGGTAATGTGAGACACATAGGGTATATGTAAAGGATTGTCAATCTTTCATCTTCCATCCGTAGAATTCATTACATATTTCCAAGCTTCTCTTCTAATTCGAAACTAGTGGCTCGATATCCACGATACTAGGGGCTCGATATCCATGTCAGCACTTCGGTAAAAGCCCCGTGAACGCAGCATGGGCTTATCGTCGAAGCGGTACAGCCACGCCGCGCCAACGCCGTCACTTGCGTAATGCCCCTATGCATTCCAGACGAGGATGCAGAATGTGTCTCCTCTCTTCCAGTTGAGGCGCTGGCTGTTAATGATGCTGTGACCCGAGCCTTCGAAGATATGGTACACTGAAGACGCCGTCTCCTGAACCATGGGAGACTTTGATTCAGCATCTAGGCCCGGCACCAAGGATTTTGCTCACTAGCCATGTATTAGTACGATCTGCGAGGGTGTGTGGAGAAGTCAGGAGGTGCGCTCTCACTTTCTGTGCCGTCTTCGTGCAAGTAGTTGCGCGTGACATACGCTCCCATTAAGAGCGTCTTGCATGCGGTGCCACGAGAACACGATTGGGGACTCGGACGTGCGGACGTCCTCGGCGGAGTAGCGCCACGAAGAGTAATGCTCAACAAAGTGAACCGGGAAGTGGAGATGATTGATTACGAGCCGGATATACAACGCAATTCTTTCATCCTTGAAGAGCTCACTGGCAAATAGTCAGTGTCGTGGGTGGCACCTTCCCCGGAAAGTCCCTAACAAATATCAGCATCGCCACCTATCCCCAGAAGGAAGGACGATTTCATGTTCTGCCACTCAGTTAATGCCTACAATCATATATACTCAGGCAAAGTAGTCGTTATCGTTCATGCAAACCCATGTATCTATGAGGACAACTTCGTTCGCTACAGTGAATAAAACCTGAGCAACGTCGTCGACCCAAAATGGCCATATCAGAATGGCACCCTGACGCGCTACAAACTCGCCGGCGTGGATACGGCCGACATTAATCAACTTGGGCGTGTGACTATTGTAGCGGCGATCCCCGCTATGGCCTCAGAGCTTCCTCGCATCGCCAAGGGCGCATCCATGGATCCAAATTACCGCTCCGCTTACTGCACGGCCAGCAATGGCGGTGGCAACCTCAAGACGGTGTACGGTGAGAGGTTTCCGTCTGAGCCAATTTTTGTGCAGCGCCCCAATCGGCGACACAGGAGGATGACTGTATCGTCATCAACAAGCAGGGCACGCACAGAATCCTCGTGGCACTCGACGGAACGAGCTCTGAGGAGGTGGCGAGGGCCAGGTGAATGCGCTTGGGTTCCATGGTTCGTTTGTCGAGGGGGCCTTCGGAGCATGATGTTGGAGCGGGAACCCATGGCATGCTACGTGCTGCCTAGGAGGATCAGCAAGATGAAATACAGGACAAAAATAATTTCTGACTCTGTCAACTCTGGCATTGTAGCCGGGCAATACCCAAAATACTTGGAATCGGGCAATCAGATTTGGGATCGCACCTCCGCAATGCACCATCAGAACGACATCTCATTGCGCCCCCGAAAAGGAAATGCAGTGAACATCACCGCCTATTATTGGTCCTATGATGTCTGTGGCTGACGAGCTTGGCATCTGGGATCAAGGTGCATCTTACTTTGTGGTTTTCTGCCAATGACATACGCCAATACCGCCTGCGCCGCAGCGTTGCATCGAGTCCGAAAGCTGTGCTCGTCGAGCCAGGAACAGCATCTTCAGGGTTCTGATGCTGTTTATGGACCCCAATCAAGGACCAAGGGTCTATCCGAGAAGGACGTCACGTCACACCAAGTCCGGAAGGCAGCTCAGCAGCTTGTTCTAAGTTTATGTTCGTTGGTTCGCAGGGTAACATGGTAATCCTATCATGGACGGTGGCGTCGACGAAGATGAAAGCTTAACAAGCTTTTGGTCATGCGAGCTGCCAAGAATAGACGACTCCATGCTGGGGATGCATGGCTAGCAGCGGCTAGATCGATTGATGATGTGGCATAGCCACCGCTTGAAGTGACAAGCTTCAGGGGCTCAGGGGTGTTCCCCAGCCCTAACTGATTGGGGAGGAGGGCACGCGCGAGCCGACAAGGGCCAGTCCCCGAACGCGGTGCAGCAGATCCGGCATGGGGCTCATGGTTAACGTCCTCAGCTTCGCTTGAGGAACGCTTCGCTCGTTCCTTGCTCAGCCTTCTCTGAATCCTTTGTACAATCCTCCGAATATCTTTGCCTCGCAATCATCGTCAATCATTGCAACGCTGACCGCAGTGCGTGTCCAAGAATATCGTCAAGCAGACTCACGTCCATGGATTGGCGAAACCTGGCCAGAGGATTGGAAAATCCGTGGCAGCAGTGACTTTGTGAAGTGATAAACAAGTATAAAGATGGCTTCATGATCTTCCAAAGTTCTGATCGTTCATCATCAACAACAGCAATTCAAAAGCAACAGCCTCATCAGCCTCAACTACTGCATTTTATCAAGTTTTTCTCTTCCATCTCGCCAGAAATCTTCCAACATGCTTTTCAGTGTCGGACTCCTCGCCCTCGCGGCCCTGCCTTCGTCTTTCGGAGCTGTCATTCAGGCGCGCCAGGACGACCCCGAGAACCCTCCCCGTGATCCCCAGCCTCCTCCTCCCGGCCCCATCTTCGGACGGGCACCCGACCTCGACAAGCGCTTCCAGCCTGCTCTCGACTTTGACACGGACAGCTGCTACAATGTACAAGCAATCGGGCCCCAACGGCGACCTCGCCATTGGCATGTATCCCTTCGAGTGGCCGCCTCAGCGGGCTGCCGCAACGAAGAGATGCTGGACAGAGGCAATGTCTACTCCCGCCAGCGCTGTAACAACGGCTATTGCGTCATCTTTTACGCCTACTACTTCCAGAAGGATACGGCGACGCCCATTGACGGGCACCGCCACGACTGGGAGCACATTGCCGTGTGGGTGCGCCAGAGCGACAGCTTCGTCACGCACGTTGCCGTCAGCCAGCACAAGGGCTACGACATTCGCGAAAACTCCCAGATCACCTGGACTGCGGCGGAGAATGGCAAGCCGGCGATTGTCTACCACAAGGACAGCATTCTGACACACTGCTTCCGGTTCGGCAGTGGCGCCGACGCCGGCGGTCCCGGGCCGGAGAACCACAAGAACCAGTGGATCACGGGCCCGCTTCTGGGGTACTTCGGCTGGGACACCGTCGAGCAGAGGGACAGGATGCTGACGCACAACTGGGAGGCTGGCTCTATCGCCATCAAGAACGAGAACTTTGCTGAGAACATTCGCAAGGCTAGGCCTGCTGGGCTGGTCTTTGACGAGAACTTTGACGACGAGGGCACCAACAACATCTGAGAAATTCTTTTCCTCGGATAGTTTTCCGGTGCTCAAGATACGGAGTGTATTCATTTGATTGAGATGATTAGTTGGGGGGGGGGGGGCGGGGGGCGTGTCTGGGGTGTTAGCGGGGGAGTTGTCACTTGAATCCTTTAACTTAGCCTTGCTTGCCATCGAAATGGAATACTGTTACTCACATCGCGAAATTTTTCTTTGACATTGATGAGCTAGCCCCCCTATAACATGGCCTTGTCGCCATACGAGTCAGAGCTGGAGCACAAATGTGTTGACAGAAAGATGAGGTCTCTCGGGACGGGAACCATCCGACGGGCCTCGTTCTCGCGACGGGCGTTCATCCGCTCAGAGGGGCGACGTCCAAACCAAGGGAGGCAAGTTTGAGTGTTTAGAAACCAGAATTAGGAGTGAAATGGAGGCATATCAATAGACTACTCTTACTACAGTCCTCAGCCATCATGATATGGTCTGGTGCTACTGTCACATTCGACGTGGCTTGGCGACGTATGTCAAAGGGTCAATGGCAATACGGCAGCAGTCAGTCTGAATGTTACTGTTTGCAATTCCGGCGTTGGTATGCGGAACGGCTGGCCAACTCCGTTGTTTTCGATAGCTCATGCGTCTGATCCATCAATCTGGGATCTCGGGCGTTGAACTGCTCCATTGAGGGTTATCGGTTCGACGTCTTAGATCATGCCAATTAGCCTCCTGGACCCCCGGGTAGGGGAAGCGCTGAGTAGACCGAATACGATCTAGAGTGAAATGGCAGCAAGCGATACAAAAAGAATGGGTATGCCTTTATGGTGTTGCTGTTCATACTGTCGAACGAGGCTGTGATCTTCCAGTGGTCAGTGTGGTCAATTCTTCTTTGCTGTACTTACAGTGTTGCAATGGTGCTAACAGGGCCCAGAGCTGTCACGTCACTCACCGCCAACCAGGCGCGGCAGCCGGCTTCAGTGGCGATAAGGAACGCTTCGTCCGACACGCAATTTTCTGTCAACCCCATCGTGTTCCAATCCCCCCCGATCACCTTCAGCTCTCAGCCGAAACATCGCTCCCTGGCGAAACCGCAAGGCACCCAGATGACACCCCGCACAATGAGTCCCCGCGAGACAACGCCCCTCCTACCGCCGGGCCCAGGCCCCCGCGTGCGTGTCGGCGCTGCTGTCAGCCCCGCGCCTGAGAAGTTCTCCGGTCTCGGCCCCCGGCTCTACTCCCCCGAGAACAGGATCCTCTTCGCCGGCTTTCTCGTCGCTCTGACTCTCGGCCTCACCCAGGTCTCGTACGTGCCAGCTGCCGGCCCGAGAGAGACTGAGTGAACAACTGACCGCATCGCAGAATCATCTACGTTTTCCGTGTCATGACCTGCGAGGCCTTTTACACCCACCACCCTCCCTCTACCGCACGCTGCGCCCGCCGGGAGATCGACGCGGCGACAGCCACGCAGGTGTCCATCCTTGGCATGACAACGTCGCTGTGTGGCATCCTCAACCTTTTCATCTGCGGCGCTCTCATCAAGCGCTGGGGTACACGGTGGGCGCTCGTCAGCCAGACGTCGCTGCTTGCCGTCAGGGTTTCCTTTCAGATTGCCGCTGTCAGCGTTGGCGGCAGGAAAGGCATCTATCTTATGCAGGGAACGCAGTTTGTAGGCATTTTTGGAGGTCCGAGGGGCTACATGTGAGTTACACGTCGGTTGTACCCCCAGGCTAAGTGTTTGTGGCTCATATTGCCTCCAGGTTGGTGCTCAACACCGCCGTCGCCGAAGCCATTGAGAGGCGGAAACACACGGGTGTATTTGGCAAACTCCAGGGAGCCTTGATGATCGGTAATGCTGGTGGCTACTTCTGTGAGTTCTCTCGTCCGACGTACATTTAGCTATTCGCCACTAATCGTCGCCAGTTGGTGGTCTCCTTGGCGATTTGTTCGGCATCTCGAGTCCGTTCACCGTCGCCGTCGGATGTTTCATAGTCGCCACGATCTATGGTGCCCTCTTCATGCCGGCGTCTCCTGTTAATGAGGATGAAGTGGCAGACAAGGACGGAAAATCAACCTCGGGATTGTTTGCGCCGCTGAGGATTCTCATTCCGCAGCAGTACCGCCTTCCTTCAAGCAAAGTGACCAAACATTATGGTCTCGTCTTTCTCGCGATGGGCGTATTCTTTGGCGTGGTGAGTCTCTCGCCTATGTTTACTGACATGAAGGTGTTCTCCGTGGCTCTCTGCTGACACTGAACAGTTTGCAACTGGCTATGCTCCTATTCTTATTCAGATGTATGCCACTTCACGATTCGACTTTGGCACCACGGAAAACGGCACGCTCATGGCAGGCAATTCCCTGATCAGGGGTGTCTTCCTGATGTTCATGTTTCCCAAGATGATTGATCTCGGTCGCCGTTGGTTTGCCTCGATGGCCTCGCGGCCCCATCATGAATCTTCCGTCGCCGATCAGCTGGAGCCGGCAACGATCCCGACGCACGCCGAGGACCTCGATCCATTGCCCGGCCTGATGAATGCCGAGGAACCAAGGAACGCGCCACCAGAGGAAGAAGACGAGGATAGCACATTTGATCTGTCGTTCCTGCGCTGGAGTCTTGTCGTTGACGGCATCGTCACGTCCATATCGGCCTGGGCCACGAAAGGATGGCACATGTATCTGGGTAAGTTGGTCTGAGATGCTTCGCAAACAACAGAAAACAGGAATGACTGACGAGAGCAGCTGCCTTCCTGCTCCCCTTCGCCTCGGGCTCGGCACCGGCTGCCAAGGGTGTCATTACAGAAATGAGCCCAGCAAACCTGCGACAGGATGCGCTGAGCGCCATCACATTAGTCGAAAGCGCGGCGACACTGACGACGCAGGGTACTTTTGGGTTCATTTACTCGTCACTATCAGGCGTCGGCAAAGCCAATTTGACGTTTCTTTGCAACGGTGTGCGTATCATCCCATCTAGATTTGGATACCTGTTTGACTGACAAGGCGTTTAGGGCCTGGCTGTCATGGCCGTCGCCATCCTTCTCTTGGCGCACTATCCTCCGACAGACGGCCTCAGGGTGGAGGACGACGAGGATGAGAGGCAGAGTCTGGTCAGCAGTTAACCTCCTCCCCTTTGGAGCGCAGTGAAATACAGCAGAGTGGGTTCCGATCAACCGTGGCAAAACCATGCTGTGCCTGTCGTCTCGCTGTCCTTGGTGGCTGGGGGCGTCCTCCAGTAGCCTGTTTAAGGACATATCCGGGCTACGCCCGAAGCACCAAGCTCCACGCCCACAGCAATAAGATACCCTATGGTGGGGAGAACCGCTGAGGCGAAAGTCTGGCACACATGCTCAGTGAGATCCCGATGACATCAATTGTTGGCAGACACACGCAGAACCTAGACTTTCTAAGCAGCACAAAAGCCGTTTGTGTACCCAAGGTCATCGAAACACTGGAGCGACTCGTCATTGGTGGCACCATGCCGCTCATCGGATGGCATCGGTCTTTGCAGGTGATAAATTCTCTGGCTAGCCCCCAAGTGGCCACAGATTCGTCGATTAGCGAGTGCTTGGTCGTGATGGTGCCGCTGAATGCAGGCGTCATCGACCGCTGATCTCCCATCCATCCACACCATCGGATTCTCACTTTCCCATGCAGAACACAGCACTCTGGCATTGGGTTGAGCCTCATTTCAAATAAGTCTCTTCTTATTTGCTAGCCCATGATGGGCACTATGACGGAGTGTGCCCCGTCCTGTTACGTTCTGGAGTGGCTTTGTGTCACCTCTGACCTTAAGAACAGCCTTCTTTTCCTGTTTGCTTAGATGCTATCTTCTCAGAAACCTCAACTCCTCATTGATCGTAAAAATGTCTTCAGATACTTCGTTCGCTGCCCACGTGGCTAGACAGTTCTCGTCTTTTGAGGATGACCGTCAGGCTTCGTCCAAGGACGTGACCTACACCACAAGCAACGGCGTTCCTGTGCCTCACCCTTACGAGACGCAGCGTGCCGGCGAGAATGGCCCCCTCCTGCTGCAGGACTTTCACCTCATCGATCTGCTCTCGCATTTTGATCGCGAGCGCATTCCCGAACGAGTTGTACACGCCAAGGGCAGCGGTGCTCACGGCTTTTTCGAGTGCACCAACCCTATCCCGAATCTCACCCAGGCCGATCTCTTCTCCACCAAGGGCAAGAAATGCCCGGTAACGGCACGCTTCTCGACTGTCGGCGGCGAGTCTGGCTCTCACGATCTCGCGCGCGACCCTCGAGGCTTCTCTGTCAAGTTCAGGACGGAGCAGGGCAACTGGGACATGGTCGCCAACAACACGCCCGTCTTCTTCCTACGAGACCCAGCCAAGTTTCCTCACTTCATCCACACACAGAAGCGCGATCCTTCTACCCATCTCACGCACGCCGACGACTCGACCATGTTCTGGGACTACCTCTGCCACAACCCCGAGTCGATCCACCAGGTCATGATTCTCATGGGTGACCGCGGCATTCCCGACGGGTACCGCTTCATGCACGGATATGCCGGCCACACGCTCAAGCTCGTGAATCAAGACAACGAGTGGGTGTATTGCCAGATGCATTTCAAGTCAATGCAGGGCATCAAGTTTGTTACTCAGGAAGACTCAGCCAACTATTCGCCCGACTACTCGCAGAAAGATCTCTACGAGGCCATCGCTCGTGGCGAGCACCCCAAGTGGTCCGTCGAGATCCAGACCATGACGGCGTCCGAGGCCGAGGACGCCTGGGAGAATGACAAGCTCAACGTCTTCGACCTGACCCACGTCTGGCCACAGAAGAAGTACCCTCTCCAGAAGGTCGGCATATTTACCCTCAATGAAAACGCCGTCAACTACTTCGCCGAGGTCGAGCAGGTGGCCTTCAACCCCTCCCACATGCCGCCAGGCATCGAACCCTCGGCCGACCCCGTCCTCCAGTCTCGCCTCTTCTCCTACCCAGACACTCACCGTCACCGCCTCGGCGTCAACTACCAGCAGCTGCCCGTCAACGCATCGCGGACGCCGTACCGCGCCGGCAATTTCCAGCGTGACGGCCAGATGGCCTTCTTCAACCAGGGCGCTCGCCCAAACTACCTCTCGTCCATCGATCCCATCTCCTTCCACAAGCGGACTGTCGACCACGACAGCGTACACGCGCACTTCACGAGCGAGGCCGTGACGTTCCTGTCGCAGATTCGCCCCGAGGATTTCGTGGCGCCGCGCGCGCTCTGGCGAGATGTTTTCGACGACGCCGCCAGGGAGAGGTTCATCAGCAACGTCACGGGCAAGATGGCCTCGTGCAAGAATGACGAATTGCTGAAGAGGCAAATTGCCATCTTCCGAGAGGTTGATCCCGAGATTGCACAGCGGCTTGAGAAGAGCACGGGGGTCAAGGGATACGAGGGCATCAAGGACATGAAGTTCAACGGCACGCACAATGGCATGGCTGGAGATCCAAAGGCCAAGTTCGCCAATGGAATTCGTGCGACTGTTTGCTCCAGTGCTACAGATGGAAACGGCGCACCGGCGAGGGGCCTGCACCGCGGATCAAATGGAACGAATGGGACAAATGGTGTGAATGGGCATTAGCATTGCTTGAGAATCGGTCATCGCGTTTATCCTGACCACGAGCTTGTTGTCCCGCAAGTACAACAGCAGGACATTAGTAAGGAGTTGGACAATATGAAGTCATACCAAGTCACAATTGCAGAACAGCAAATAGCGTATTAGGTGATTACATTATGATTTCTATCCATCGCGGACTACTATTCTCACTTTGCAGGTGAATCTCGCGATTTGTACCGACGGACGACAAGTTGTGATGATCTGTTCACAGAACGACGTGCACGCTCTTCGCGACACTCGGCACACCCTTGGCAGAGATTGCGAATAGGTAGTAGTACCCTGGCAGCAGCACGCCGCGGTCGGTCGGCAGCGTGACCGTGTACTTGCCATTCTGCGCGCGGAACCTCTTGAGTGGGATCCGGCGCTGGTCGCTGTTGACCGAGTGCGTGACGGTGCCAGTGCGAATCAGCGAGAAGGAGGCAACGTTGCCCTCGACGTCAAACGACAGTGTCGCGCCGGCCGAGACGGCCTCCTGCGCAAGTCCTGAGATGATGGGACGCGGAGCCGCGCTGCCATCGTCATTCAAGAGGTAAGGCGGCGAGAAGATTTCGCCGTCGGCGTGGTCAGCAGCCTTGTTGCAGCCGGCAGTTGAGCCGCCGATGGTCGAAACATAGCAGAGACCGCCGCCGCCCGTGAAGACGGTGGCGTCGGGGAGCAGGATGGACACAGAGTGGTAATTGCGCGGCACAGCGGCGGCGGCGAGCTGCGTCCACGTCTTGGTCGTGGGGTTGAAAAGCTCAGCGGTGAGAACAGCGTCCGTGTTGGTGAAGACAACAGCGCGTCTCTGGCCGCCCGTCACGAGGACGGTGCCGTCGGGAAGCACAACGGCGTTGGCGAAGCCGCGCGGAGAAGCCATATCGGGGACTCGCTCAACAATTGAAGGGGCAAACGCCTCGCCGATGGTTGTGATGTGCGCTCGTGCTGTGGCATCGCTGTCGGTGTATTCGGGAGCGCCGCCTGCAGACAGGATCTTACCAGCAACAGCATCGTACATAGCCCACACACCACACATGGCGTCATCGTCATCACGTGTGCCGGCCTTGACGACAGAGCCCTCGCCCTCGGTACTGTACCAGTGCTGGTCTAGCGAAGGACCGGCTTGGAAGATGGACTCGTTCTTCCATCCAAAGAGCCAGGCATGGTTGTCCTCGCGCCACACACCCTCGTGGTCGGTCGTCATCATGGGCTTCACATCGGCGCCGGGGAGGTATGTCCACTCCTGGTTGTCGGGGTTAAAGACCTCGCCGTTCTTGGCCTCTCGGCTGCCGGCATAGGCACCTCCAATGGTGAAAACGTGACCATTGGACATGATGGCGGACGTCTGGTAGCCGCGAGCTACCTTCATGTCAGGCCCGCGCGTGAACTCGTTGGTCGCTGGGTCGTAGATGCTGACTGCTTCGGCATCGGAGCCACCTTGCACCATAACGCGACCGTCCTCAAGCTGGCTGATGCCGGGGCAGAACATATCGTGGTGTGTATTAGCGACCTCGCGATCCGATACGGCGCCGGTCGCGAACTCGTAGTCGCCAAATTGCGTCTTGCCCGAAGCGCCGCCGAAGGCATCCTTGCCCCAGGACGAGAAGAACAGCATTCTCGCGGGCTCGGGATACGCCGGCACGATGTAAGCGGCGACGGGGATCAACGGCAGCTTGATAACATCAGACCACTGCCCAACCTTGGCCGCAGCTCCCTTGGGCGTTTCCGGCTTCGTGTCGACGGGTTCATCGGAGTCCTTGTTGTCATCTGCCGCACCGGTCTTCGTATCGATGGAGATAAAGCGCTCGTCCTTGACCCAATCTAGCTTGACATTGGATCCAGACTCCTTGACGTAGCAGATCTTGTTCTTGACGTCGTAGACGGCCTTCTTGCAGTCCTTGGTCTTGGCGCAGGTGTCCGCACAGGCATGCGGGCTGGGCGTGTTGCGAAACGTGTGGGCGTTGGGTCCAGTGTAGTCGGTATTGACGCAGACAGTAAAGAATGTCTTGCCTGAGCTGTAGCCTGCGCCCGTGTTTGGGCACGTTTTGATAGGAGCGCCGTTGTCGAGCTCGCTACTCTCATCGCGGTGGATCACGTCGAAGCCGTTGTCGTCTGCCCAGTCCATCTCGGCCGTCTTATCATTATTCTTGAGGTGGCACATTTGGTTCTTCTTGTCGTAGACGGCCTTCTTGCACCGGGAGTCCTTGATACAAAGTTTCAGGCATTCTTGCGTTGAGGGCACGCAGTTGTAAACCGCAAGGCTGCCACCGCCGTTCCTGTAGTCTGTGTTGTCGCAGATGCCGTATTGCGTGCCTTCCGGGGTTATCCAGACGGTTTCGTAATTAGGGCACTGGAAGAGATGTGCAGCTGCTGGTGTAAACAACGAGAGGGCAGCCGACACAACGGCTACCTTTGAGAACGACGCGTATGCCATGTTGAGAATTGAGAGTTTGGGTTGATTTGTTTTCGAAGCGAATGTGTGATGAGTCGAAACTCGAGCATAGAGGGAGAAG